AATAATAGCAATGTAATAACACTAGTAACTAGTAAGTCTACAAGAAAAGGTAATAAACAAGATGATCGCATTGACGAAGAGGAACCCCTGCATCATTACATACTCCTTAGGAGGACCCCCAACCCTGTAATAGTTATTCTAAGGGATAGTTATAAGGAATATATTAGGGTCCTATTATATTCCTACTATACCACTACCCTAAACCCTAAACCCTAACATACTCCAATGATGCAATTCTTTTTAAATGGAGCAAGTTATTCCTAATTTCGAGGTGGGAGTCGGAATATGGTAGCTTCCCCAAATAGGGGGTTTAGGGTTTGGGGTTTAGGGTTTGGGGTCCCCAAAATACACCCTAAAGCACTACAATACTGGTACACCTCACTCTGGCAAATCCTAGTCCCTAAACCCTACATAGCCCTATATAACCCCATATAACCCTATGTAACCCTATATGCCCCTATATGACCCCTATGTTCCCTTTAAAGAGACGACTTTTGGGGCAAGGGATTGCCTCTTCCGCGGTCATGGGCCCCGCATCAGCTAAAAATCAGTCACCCTGGAGAACCCTCATAGGTTTAGGGTATAAGGTTCTACTGTAAATCCTCAACCTTTAACCTTAAAACCCCAAAACCCGAATGTGCAAAGTGGCTACGCAGGTCTAGAACTCCCAGTCATACTAATGCGTGGGTAAGCTGCCCTGCCCGAAACTTACAAACAAGCTGCCAAGAACATAATTCTACAAGGAATCCAGGATCATAATAATTGTTGTAAGTCAGGCTTCTACATTTCCTCCATCTTTCACATAACGGAGCACCTCAGCTTCCTGTAAGCCGGCCGCTACCGCCAGCAGCTTTTCGCCCATGGGAACCGCTGCCAGGGGCGCAGCTGCCTGTGACGGCTGCTATTATCTGGGCTTATATAGGGGTTGTAGGGTTCATATGCGTTGTAGGGTTTATATAGGGGTTGTACGGTTTATATAGGTTGTAGGGCTTATATAGGGGTTATAGGGTCTATATGAGGGTTGTAGGGTTTATACAAGGGTTGTAAGGTTTATATCGGGGTTGCAGGGTATATATAGGGGTTATGAGGTTTATAGAAGGGTTATAGGGTATATATATATATATACGGGTTATAATGGGGTAATGGAAAAGAATATGGAAGCTACCATCCAGGGTTTGGGGTACTGTTACTAAATTGCTAGCAGTACGGCTAATATGGCTTTGCCATTTTGATGTTACTGTTACTATCACTATTTTTAATATGTGATGGTAGTCTTCTTCTTCAGTATAATCGCATCCAACCCCGTAATACAGATATCCTACTTACCCTGACTATCCTCTAGACGTGAACTGTGAACATTCGCTGCGTTGTACCATTCTATTATTGAGAAAGAGTCCGTATTTGGGAGGCAGGGTCGATCACCATTGTCCCTATAGAATCTCTACATATATATATATATATATGTGTATATATATAAATAGGAATATAGACATACCATATCATACCATAGTAGTTTCCATTTTCCTTTCCATTATCCCTACATAATCAACCACTTCTGCAGTAATGAATACAAACGAAATGGCCACAAGCAGAGCAGGCAACAGCAGCTCTGCTCCTTCCTTTCTCGGAGACGATGACAGCGATGGTGCTTACAACTTCGGCCCTCTAGGATGCACCATACAGCCCTGGACCCTGAAGCCTAAATCTTCTAATCCCTAAGCCCTGAACCCTCAAAGCCTAAAACTCTAAAACCCTAAACCCTAAAGCCCTAAAGGCTAAAACCCTAAACCCTAAAACCCTAACTCCTAAAACCCCACACCCTAAATCCCTGAGCCCCAAACCCAAAACCCTAAATCCATGAGCGCAAGCTCTAAACCTCAAACCTTCAACCCTAGATCCCGAATCCCTCGTGGAAGGCTACCTGATAGTTTCCGTAACAAGGGAACCCCAATATCGACCCCAAAATACTACAATTTTTGATTATTGGGACCACTAAATATGGGAAAGCCTAAGCCCTAAACCCCATATATCCCTCTATAACCGGTATATATCCTCTATAACCCGTTCAAAGGTACCCCGACTTGTCGGAAAAATCCCCACCTCTTCGACCTGCTGCGAGAAGAGCCGTATTTGAGAGGCCCAGTGCGGGATGTCGACCTGTTTAGGGCTCACGGTTTTGGGGTTTTAGGGTTTAGGGTTTCGGGCTCCAGGGTTTTAACGTTTTAGGGTCTTGGGTTTTTAGGGTTTCGGGTTTTATGGTTTTAGAGCGTCTAGGGCTTTAGGATTCAAGGTTTGGAGGTTTTGGATTTAGGGTTTCAGTCTTTGGGGTTTCGATCGCTAGGCAACCTGAGGAAACATGTTTCTCAAACTTAGGGCCCAGTTCAAAGGGTATGTTGTTGCACCTGTTCTCAAGCGTGCGAAAAGGACAACAACAAGCAGCCCCATAACTTTGCAAATGCACAGCTCATAGGCAGTACACAAAAAGCAAGATTACACTGTTGATGACGGCGCCATCCCAATGCGAATGATGGATAGATGTTTATTCTCACCACTGCCGCCTCGATACAACTGCTGGTAGTTGTCGTCAACGGCCCCAAAATTGAAAAGATACGCGGTTTAGGGTTTAGGGTTTAGGGTTGAAAATTAAAAGTCGACCAGTGAAGCCAATCAAATAATGGAAAATGACATCCAAACGCTGAGTCCCAACATCAGGCTTTTGCCAGGTTGCAACACCAAGCGTGGCAATAATCATGACTATAAACTGAATCCTAGATCCTACAGTTACAGTACTGCTGATACCAAAAACCTGCAGATGATGGTATAAATTTGCAAGGTACCAGGTACTTCAGTTCATGCGGAATGTTGTATCCACTGTAGCAATAATCCTAAACCCTAAACCCTAAACCCTAAACCCTAAAACCCTAAAACCCTAAAACCCTAAACCTAAACCCTAACACTCTAAACCCTAAACCCTAAACCCTAAAACCGTAAAACCATAAACCCCCAACTCCGAACCTCGGCCTTCTTACGCAGGAGTCGATTTTCATCCACCAACCTGCGCGCCATGCCCCGGCGTTTCTCGAATTTGTAATCCCAGACACTTACCTTTGGTTAGCTGGGAATGAAGGAATGGAAAAGAAATGGAAACTACTTCAGGGTTTAGGGTTTAGGTATAGGGTTTAAGGTTTAGGGTGGGAATCAAGGAATGGAAAAGAAAATGGAAGCTACCATAATGTGTTATAGAGGGACTACTATAAGGATCCATTCCTTCAATCCCAGCTAACCAAAGGTAAGTAAACCCAAAATAGTTCAAGGGGTCCCTTCAAATGGGTAACTAGGGATGATCCAAAAGTGTATGGGATCTGGGGCGGAATCCTGAATGAAACAGAATCAAATGGAAAGAAGATGAACAAATCGAAGTGAGGCTTGGTGTATATGGGGGAATGATTCTGTAGCCTAAAGAACTAGAATAGGGCTTCGCGATGCACTATAGGGAGATCAGAAATTGTTCTGTTCTGCCTTCTGCAGTACGTTGAGGTTAAGGGGCGTAGGGTTTGTTTAGAGTTTGGTTCAGCATGATTCAGAAAGTTCATGGAGTTCTGCATTCCCTACGAAACTCCCGTGCATTGCCTAAACACCATAAGAATGCCCAGGCAAAACCCCAGCAGGTCCCTGTGCATTTCTCACAGAATCCGAAGAAGATCACCGAAATCTAAGTGAAGTCTAAATCACGGCTGCATCTTCCTTGAAGAGTCTCCTTACAACATCCCATCGGCTTTCCTTCCCAGTATTCACAATTGAACAATGGTGGTTCACAAAAACTGGGCATATTGAGAGAATCAAAGCTCCACCTATTACTGGAAATTCTTACATGATCCTCCATACACCCTACACCCTATATGAACAGAACCCTATAAGACTACTACCCTAAACCCTACCTAAACCCCAAAACTATCTAAAAGAATAGCCCTAAACCCATAATAATAGCCATAAAGGCCATTATTTTACCTTTTTTTGGGGTCCAGGTAAACCCTAAATCCTAAGCCCCGTAATGGAGAAGCAACTACAAAATTGGCCTTGCATGGCTCTCTCTGAGACTTTCGAGCTCTTCGCGCATGGAAGCCACCTGAGCAAAGTTAGCTCAGGGTTTAGGGTTTAGGGTTTACAGAAACCCTAAACCCTCTGCTACCAGATTCACGATTTCGTCAATCAACTGTAGGGTGCACTTAGGGTGTTCGGGGATTCTTCTGAGATGTCTGGAGTGGCTTGTCGGTCAGAGATTCCTGGGATTTTGTTTCAGAAGTCCCAAAACCTACTCCCTAAGCCTGGGCCTTAAACCTGAATCCCTAAATTCCTTTAAGCCCTAAACCCTAAACCCTAAATTCCTAAACCTTAAGCCTTGGATCCCTGAACCCTACCTAACCTCTAAAACTTAGATCCAAAATCCCCAACCCCTAACCCCTAAACCCTGCTCCCTTAACCCTAATCCCCTTAGGCCCGCAGACACCGCAGAAGGGAGGGGAGCTTTCTCTATGGTTCGGATTTACCTGCCCTCAAGCTAGTGCACGACAACAATGCTCTACACAAAGACTCGCAGAGTCCTTTCGCACTGCTGCTAGAACAGCAGGGCACAATCGGAGCAGCTGCTGCCACCACCCTACGCGGAAAACGGATGTTCTATAAAGCATGGCTGTCTATGCAGCGGTTGCCCCAAAAGCATCTGCGCAAGCAAACGTAGAAGGAAAATGTGTGTTGAGGAGAAGTCACACACAGCGAAAGGCACTGCACACCACAGCTTTGGCAGCATTCTTATTTTCCACGCTCCAGGCTACGCCACGAAGACTGAAGCTGATCCATGCTGCGCCCTCAAGAGATCACCCGACGATCTCAAGACTTTGCAGCCAGCAGGCAGAAAGGCCTGTTCCTAGTAGAGCTAGCTTTCCTAGTCGAGCTGCGTGTTCAGGAGAGGATACGTGTCAAACAATGTTGGCTCGATGTCCCTAGATCCAGGACTCGAATTCCCGGAGCATCTCTTGCACTTCTTTCTCATCCTGGTCCATCACTTGCGGTGGCATCTTCGGACAGCATTCCTTCTCGAAAAGGACCTGTGCCTCTACCGTCCCCTCCTTCAGAGGCTCCCTCTCATCCTGGTCCATCACTTGCGGTGGCATCTTTGGACAGCATTCCTTCTCGAAAAGGACCTGCGCCTCTACCGTCCCCTCCTTCGGAGGTTCGGCACCGTTCATTTTTGCCTCTTGTCCTTTCTCGGCCTGTTGCTCTCTCAGAAGCTGCTCAACATGTCTGCGGAAGCTGTCCCTCTTGTTGGGACTCAACTGGTCATAGCCCAGGATGTACTCGCCAGTCTCCTCGTCTTTGTCAGGGTCAGAAAGCTCAATCAATTTGGTGAGCTTCTCCTCCTCGAGTTCATCAATCATCTGTTGTAGCTGCTTCTTGGCCTTCAGCTCCTCTGGTTGGGCTATTGACACGTAGAGAAACCTTTGAATCAGCTACTTACCATGACCGCAGGAAAATTGAAAGAGTTACCAGGTCCTGCAGCTCGATTTGTGAGTTGGGTTCCCTCTCTGGTGTGGAGCTCCTACTGGTTGGTGTTGGTGTCGTCGCTGGGGAAGTTGCAGCAGATCGACATGGACTGGCCAGTCTGCCGATCTTGGGGTGGGAACTGATCTCCTCTTGAAGAAGTGGCCGCTTCATACCTCGAGAATTGCATGCCAGCCCTGACCCTACGACCACAAACATGCAAACACACCTTTTTGCCAAAACCCGCCTTTGGGCTTCGGGGAGATTGGAGCCTCCGGAAGCTTTGAAGTTGCAACAGGGGGCATGTGGCCTTGATCTTCTTCGTCGCTTGGACAGCGCTCAAGTTCTACTTCTCCAGAAACGCCTAAAGCCGCCAGGTACTGCTGCAGAGCGCGAAGTTCGTCTTCGTTCAGCCGTACCTCTAAAAAGCGACAGCCTTCCAGATGGACCTTCTCAATTTGAAACTTGACAGTCCCAACTCGAGGCATTGTGCTACAGCCAGCCGATGGACTATGTGAAACGCGACTGTATTGATGGTCCAACCTTATGCGGTAATTTGAATCCGCGCCCCTCCCACATCTCGCAAGCCTAATTCTTGATCTTGCGGCTGACGTCAACATACCCGCGTCATGTCGAGGTATGTTTCTGGCCTTCCTATACTGTAAAACGAGCCAACAACATGACCTGTCTCGTTCAATCCACGGCCGCTATCTAGTTCACGGGGCAGTGTCCCGGATGCACAAGTACTGACATAGCATCTGACATGGCTACTCTTCAGCTCTATTACGTTAATAGATGCGGGTGCTCTTGTGAAATTCATGTCACCTGGACTACCGCAGCGGACTGGGCCAGGAGGAATCCGGCAGGAAGCGCATGTGCTCAAGAATCCGGTCACTCAGAAAGCACGCAAGATCCGACAAACATGCATGCCAACTACCCTCCCCTTCGCAAAACCTTTAACCCTAAACAGCATGTTAGCTCCCACGTTCGTCTCTACTCCCCTTCAGCAGCAGTAAGGCTATTGAATTGAGTTCTTCACTTTAGGCCCCGGCTGTGATGCAGAAAGTTCGCAAGGTGTTGTTCCTGCACGGCTGCGCAGCATCCAAAGAAAACTCACTGTCCAAGCTTCCGAAGAAGTAGGATCCCTTTTTGGAGGAGGGTCTACAACAAGGCTTATAGTATATTGGGGCCCCTTTCTTGGAAACTCCAATACAACTGACTTGAGGCTGCACCGTGAGGCGAAACATTTAAAAGCCTCCCTCCGAAAATACTGGGAACCTACAGAGCATATATGGGGATCTTATTATAGTATACCCAAAGCCATATTCTATCTACTTAAGGGGACTATACATCCTATAAGAGCCTGGTTCAAGCAAGCTAAGTCATGTGTAGAGGACGTGCATATTCTCATCTGGGACCCTGGTCAGTTCACTCCTTATGGAAGCATCTACAGGTTGCCGAAGGGTCATATATGAGGCAAGTAGCAAAAAAACTTTAATTGAGAACAGAACTCTTCGGCTGTTGTCATATGTGGCTTCGCTGGCTTTCAGGAAAAGGCATGGGAGCTGGTCTGGATCGTTGTTGTCAAGAAAGGAAGAAAACCTCATAGAGATGCGTTCTATACTAGGAACCAGTGTAGATCATGCAGAGGCACCTGTATGACACTAAGCTGGACCAAAATCCAACGTCACTGGGGCCGGCACCTGATTCTTACAATCTGCGCCACAACCATGCCTCTCAACGCCAAAGGCTAGAGCTTCATGCTTACCACATCTTACCACGTTTTCGTGGAGATGCTGAGCTGCCAGCTAGCTTTCTCGGACGAAGAGAAGCACACACATAGGGAGACTAGAAGTCACATGGAGACACTGAGTGTTTGAACACCTGTTCGAAGTCTTGCTGCCGTATGTTCATGCTCTTCTGGGTCACTCCCACAGTGTAACTTCAAGCGATGCGTCCTTGGTTCTGACATGAGAACTCGGTCCAGCTAATGCAACCCAAAGGTGTACGCGGCAGTGTGCTCACTCTACAACTCACAAACTTCCCGCAACATCAGAGCAAGCGCCAGTGTAGATCTCTGCAGAACTTCTTGATACCAAGAGCTTTTTGGCGTCCTTCGGCGCCTCACGTCAAGAATCTGAGGGATCGTCATTCAACGGATCCCTCAGCATCGGTGAAACTTTTCTCCCTCCGGAGCGGTTTGATGATAGAACCGAGAAAATATGACTTCTGATGACATGGGAATAAAGGGATCCAAAAAGACCAGAGCATACTTCTTTTGTTGTATCATCCTAACAGACTTCCTGTGGTTTGGAGAAGGACCCAAGAATTTGGGAGCTTACGTCCTAATTCGGAACAAGAAACTAGGCCCTAAACACCAGATCACCTCAAAGAGTCCAGGCAAGGGATTCTAGCGGTTTAGGAAATTGGGTTTGGGGTTCAGGGTTTAGGATTTTAGGGTTTAGGATTTAGGGTTTAGGCCCTCAACCGCTCAGCTGCTTCAGAGAGCTCGAAGGGCAGAGTCACTTCGAGACCTTGCCAAGATTCCGTCAGAGCGTCAGAATGTAGCGATGCGAAAACCACACGGTCTAGGCTAGAGTAGGTTTGCAGACCCTATGAACATCAAATGTATATGCCCGTGTACGGATTACATAGGGGTTAAGGATAACAGCAATTAAAAAATATGTTCCAATCTACCCCTGTAGGGTTTACGGCTTGATATATCATGGGAGTGCAAAGGATGTGTATTGTATTAACACTGATGAAAATAATGGCAGGCATCATAGGAGAGGCTCTCAAAACAAAGGTATGCTAAAGACCCCAGGGATATATAGTAGCTGTCAGCGGATTGCGGGAGTGCTCATTAGGGGCTCTTCGGGGGCAGGAGAAACAATGACAAAACAGGTAGGCGACCACAGCACGGGGAATAGGCGCACAACAACAGTCACACCAGCAGCAAAAAGAGGAGCAGCGCTAGTATTCACTGTAGCACTGTAGTTGAAAAATGACACTGCATCAGGGCTGGCGTCGAGGCTCTTCTATTTGCTCAATCAAGTCCTGCACTGCACCCTGCATTGCTGGCTTCTTTGGTAGAAACACTATAGGCCCGCATGGAGAAAATTAAGCATCACGTCGTAAGCCCGACACCCTTGGCGTTACACCAATTTGGGGTCTTGAGTGCTCCAAGTTTTCCTCCATCTGCCATAGCACTGCTACTACGTTTGGGCAGGGAAAACCCCTGCAGAAACGCGCAGGCCTCGAAACCACAAAGAGCTTCTGTGAGGTGTTCGCGCTGCTAGACCACAAGCCCTTGATCCTAAACTCTTCATCCCGAACCGCAAACCCGAAACCCCTAAACCCCTAAACCCTACAGCCATAACCCTAAACTCCTAAATCCCTAACCCCAAACCCCTAGATCCTACACCCCAAACTCTAAAGCAGCCCTGCCTCCCAAGACCCACCCAAGTTGGATCACGTGGTATAGTGTTGCCTTGATGCATGAGGTCCTTTCAACCAACTCGGCTTAGGGTTGAAGTTTTGGGGTTTAGGGTTTAGGGTTTGGGGGTAGGGTTTAGAGGCCTAGTGGGCCGGGCAAGATTATATTTCTTGTAGCATGACACGACTAAAGAAGAGAATATTATCCTAGGCTATATCGGGCCAAGAGTATTCTTTTTCATACCTTCATACTACGTACTACTCACGAGAGCTGACCCATGTGAAGAGTCGGGCTTGTCATGTAGAAGCCTGAATAATTACCAATCTCATATTGGGGTCTGTTTGCGGGTGCCCTGTCCCGAGGACCAAAAATATTCGGAATTATTCAAGCCATTATACTACTGTTCAGACACTGTCCCATGGGAATGGGATGCGTGGGCCCTGTATTTATGGGCGCCTCCGAAAGCCTAAAACCTAAACCCTAAACTAAGTTTCGGGACGTTCTTCTCGGATTCTGCAGGATGATTCCAGGGGACCGCAAAATCCCCTTCCCGTATGTTTTAAGGGCCCCCATCCCCGTAACATTATATGTTGCATTGTGGTATTTTGACGTACAAAACGAACAGTTGATATTAGGGAGTGGCGGGTTTTAATAGTAGTCATTACCTAAAACACCCCTTAGCCCAAGACCCTTAACCGCACACCTCGTGATCGCTATTTCTAAGCCCAAACCCTAAACCCTAGATCTTACTTTTATCGGCTTGCGCAAGGCTTATCTGGCTTGTCAAATGGCCCTGGCCCACCTGGGTCTATGAGAACCTTAGGTCTTAGGTCCCTCTGAAGGATTCCAGATTCAGGACTTGTGGGCCCCATTCACTCTTTCAGCACGTGAGTTAGAGCATTTTGGGCAATCTGCATTGGAAAGCTCTCCTTCCTACACAGTAGGTATGAAGAAGCCAGATGGTATTTCTCAAAGAAGGGAGCACCACTATGGAACGGCGTTACCCATGAGGGGTGGCTAGGTCCTAGACCTCAGATCCTAAGCCAAAAACTAAACCCTAAATCCTCATCACTAAACCCTAAACCAAGAATCCTAAACTCTCCCTCAGCCCTAAAACCTAGACCCTAAACCCTAAATCCTAAACTCTGAATCCTAAACCGTGAACCTTAAAACCCAAACGCAAAGTTCTAAATCCCAAACACAAAATCTTAAATCTTAAACACAAAATCCTAAATCATAAGCCCTAAACCTTCAATCCAAAGCCCGGAAACCCTGAAGCCTCCATCCATCAGACTGAAGCTGCCAGGGCAGGCGGTCCTCATGCCAAGCAGCACCGGAATCCTCCTTGGAGGTGCCTCAGACGATCTGATGGTTTGGACTGTTTGATGATTTAGGGTTTAAGGTTTAGAGTCTAGGATTTGGGATTTAGGGTTTAGCGTTTAGGGGTTTGGGGTTTAGGGTTTAGCGTTTAGGGTTTGGGGTTTAGGGTTTAGCGTTTAGGGTTTGGGGTTGAGGGTTTAGGGTCTAGCGTTTAGGGTTTAGGGTTACTAGGGAATAGGGGAATAGTATATACGGGTTATATTCCCTTGCTCCCTCCTACCACCGGTAAGTTGATGGTTTGGGTGTAGAGGGTTGAGTGGTTGGGGTTCTGGGTTCTCTGGTTTTGGGGTTTTGGGCATAAGCTTCAAGGTTGACTGTTTTGCATGGCGAGCTAACGGTTCAGGGTGTAGGGTTGCGG